AAGAGAAAATGGGCATGAAAGAAAGAAACAGACATGAAAATGAGATAATATGTCAGCGTGATTCGACAGTTCACCAGGCTATATTCAAATTTCAGTAATTTAATTTTCTGAAGTATGTCTTTCTCAAACCAATTCTCTTTGCAACAAACAATCTAGTATATTTAATTGTAATTACACCAGCAGGCTACTATGAAATGTTTCATTCAGATTTATAAATAAAAAATAATATGCTGTCAGTGTTCATAAATATCTCTGCAAACATTGGCACACAGATATAGGAAGGGAAAGGGAAAGCTTCCAATTACCAAGGACGCAAGAGATGCATACATCATTTAATATTCCAGTGGGGCATTGTGTCTGCAAGCTAATTCACTGAAGTTGACAATCTTTCAGAATATTAAGGGCGCACTGTGATGGAAGTATTTGCAGTGGCAGTGTTTTTTTTAAAATATTACCTGACTTTTACTGGCACTATCAGATCCAGGAGGGATTACAGACGAAGTATGCTCATGTGTCAAATTCTGCACCTAGATGTCAATATTACTGTATTGAGAAAACAGGCAGGATTATGCACACTTTCTATGCATTTTGATAAATTCTGGCCAGGTTTATAAAGCGTCCCAATATTACTCAAGTATTTTGTTATCCTGGCTTGATACCACATTGAACTAATACCCCATGGGATGTCAAACTAAAGTGTGTATGTACCATCTTCCCTAAGAATCGCACTACACACTTTTATGATCCCAGCTGATGTTATTGCTGGACAAGTTAGATCCCAAACTGAAACCTGACTTGATAGATTATACTTTGTTTTGGTTTTATGAAGGATGGCACCTCATTCAAACACAACCACATAATGTTGTAGATTTGGTCTTAACAACAGAAAAGTTTATTTAAAAAGTGAAAGAAATGAAGATAAACCAGGCTATTTACTTAGAACAGAAACTTAGGGTTTTGAAACACACAATGAAATATAATCACACTAATCCCAAAAATACTCCTTTACTGACCTCAAAATATTCCTGTACAGTATCAAAGGGCAAACCATGTACAGTATTCACACCAGAAAATTCTAACACCTCAATAGGTTTGATTTGACTTCAATTCCCAGTCTGGAACATGTGATAGCCTCTTCCTGGAGCTATTATACACCCAAGTTTAAATAATCTCAACTTCAAATAATCAGGGTTTTATCCAAACACACTGCAACTATCATTGGCTCCTTACTCTAAGGTAACATAGTTTGATTTATTAGCACTATCTTCTCCCATTTTACGGAGTAACTTTACCCATGAAAGCTTCTGCAGAACTGCCCAAAACTGAAAAGGTCTTTCTCTAAGCTATGCATGTAACCTGTAAACTTAAAGTACAAAAGTTTCTAACAGAAACCTTGAGACACAATTGTTAAGTTTACCTTGCTAAGATGTTAACCCTCCTGAAGTAAATTTTTAAAAATTAGTTCTGGAAACTGGCTCTCTCAAACTATTTGTTTAAGTCACTATGGCTACAGAAACATTCACAAGTTAATTAATAATTCCTTGAGACTGACAGGAAAATACTCATATATCACTACTTCAAAATCAAAAAAAATCTAAAACAAATAAAAAAAACCACACAATCTGCATCACAACATTCACTCTGGAATCTGAATGGGGCCCCATTACGAATTAACACTGAAATCCCATTGAGGATACCCACATTGTGTTCTCATCAGATTTGTGTCCATAACCAACTGAGTTCAAATATTCTTATTATTAAGATGCACCTTCTTAACCCAGGTCCTGCAAATTCCGACCCACCATTCCGAAATCCACTCTTCTGAATTTGAACCAAACCTATCTAGATTGCCATGATCAGGTGATATGCATTGACCTAATATTCTTAAGCATAGATTTACTCCTGATCTTCAAATAGGAATGAAAATTTAGACATTTTTGCAGGCTGAAGAAGCCAGGCACTTTAGATGATGTCAACTGTTTGAGGTGTCTCCCTAACTGGTCACTGATGACAAGAGCTATAAGGCCTCCAGCTCTGAGGATCTACTGGGAAATCTATTCACAGAAAGATAGCATTTCCCATTTTAGAGCGTGATCCATGAATTCCTCTGATTTCAGAGGGACTGTGTTTGATGTTAACATAAACTTTGGAGGAAAATGAGGTGCAAGTCCAGGTTAGGTTTTGCCACTTCCAGTATGGTTTCGCTTCCATATCACTAAACATATCTTAGCCCTCTTCTCTTTTTGAAGGGACTATTCCCTCTATGATAGCTTGGTCCATTCCTCAGTTACCACCAACAATCGCATCTTTTCACACAAGTGCTAGTGATGTAACATTGCCCTTTCATCACCTTGTTTTCACTGTACAAGGCCCCAAATAATCCTCCCAAGTGAAAATGTGATTTGCTTGTAATTCTTTCAATTTAATATCCTGTATTGGCTATTCACAAGGTTGTTTGCTCTGCATCAGGACATCCAAACACAGGCTGGGTGACTGTTTTATAGCACACCCCCACTCAGTTCGTAAACAGGACTTTGAATTTCTTGATGCTTCCCACTCAATTCTACTGCTCAGAGATTTCTGTCAATGTCCTGCCAGAATGTTCCAATCAGGCTTAACACAGTCTCAAAGGACAATATCTCAACTTTCATGTGGGCACACTACAACCTTTGAGACTTAACTTTGAGGTTAACTCTTTGAGATTATAACCTCTGGCCCCATTCATGTCTTTATTTTTAAAATTTTTTTTTTTTTTTTAAAAACTTTCAAATCCTTAATGTTTAGACAGTGGCTATCCCAAAATTCACAACACATCTAGATACATCTTTTGTTTCTTTATTTATTACTGTTTCCTTGGTTTAGTATCATTAAACTTTGTGTAATCTAATCTCTCCTGCAGTTAACTCTATCACTGATCTTCCATTTTGTTCTTCTCCTCATCCTCCCATTTCACTCGCTCAAACTCTATTTATTACATCTTTTTTCAGTTCTTATGAAAGGTTACAAACCTGAAACACTAACTTTGTTTCTTCTCCACAGATAATCCAGAGCTGGAGTGTTTTCAGCATTTTGTGTTTTTGTTTCAAATTTCCAGCATCCACATTATTTTACTTTTCTATCAAGTTAGAGTACAGTTGTCTCCGTTGCATAGTTTTCCTTTGCTTGTGTTTGCTCTATGCCCTATTCTCCCCACCAAGGATACATAACAAATGCTCACGTGCCCAAATGTTCAATGTTGGTGTTGTTCCCTTTTTGTTTACATTCTCACTGTGTTCAGAAACCTGGAGTTCATACCATCTCCTTGGTACAAAATAGGCAGGAACAAAAGTTGGACTTTTCATCCTGTGAAGGATGCAGTGGTAGTTGTACCTATCTCTAAGCCAGGAGACCTGGTTTGAGGGCCCACCTGCTCCAGAGGTGTATCACAATATGTCTGAACAGGCTATTTAAAAATATCTACAATCACAGTCTTCAAAGCACAGCTGCTCTGGTACTCCTCACAGCTGGCCAGATAATACTATTGGCTTCCTCCTTGTTCTGTAAAAAGAACTTATGATTAGATCATTGGTGGGAATATATATTACAAAACAAATTATCTCTTCTACAAGGTACTTCATTAAAATTCTTTCCTGAAATCTTGTCTGTCATTAGGGTGAAAGAACAGGTCAATCAATAGCTGTTCCACATCATTGGTGAGTGCATTTGCTAGTTTGGTCAAACCAGTGGATCAGATGGCAGTGACATATAAAGATATGAACTGATGATGGAAATATCAGCAAACAGCTGAGAAAAAAAAATGTTTCTTCCAGTTATAATTTATATCTGATTCTGCTGCTGTGAAGCACCTGGAGACATCTAAAATACTATTAAATTGATAGATTCCAGTTGTTCCTATGGTATTTACATCACCAGAAAAAAACATGTTTAGTTGACAATTTGTAGTTCCAGCTTGAACGAGATGTCGAAATATTGTACATTGCAAAATCCATTGTCTGACAAGACAGGAATGTGGTAATAGCTATGTAACAAGTGATATTTATTGAAAATTTGAGATAGGGAGCCTTTCCTGTAGCTTCTGTCTGCATTGAAGCAAAAACATGCTTCTTTTGCAATAAGGTTCTCTCTTTCCAACTACAACATTGTTTGTGTTAACTTTTGTTGCTTAACTTGTACGCAATGGCGGGCCCTTGACTTCTCGTGACGCTTCCCACTGGAAGAAATACTTAAATCTCAAATACAAAACGTTCTTTTGGGAGATGTTTACAGATATATTTTCTCTCTAAGTAAAAGCATATTGGTAGCTTACTTACATTTAAATATCTTGCAATGCGTTTCCAAATTCCTTTATTTTTGAAGTAGAGAGGTCTAGGAAATTAAATTACAATCCCTTCTATAATACACACACACACAAAAAATTGATCTGCGTCACGACTAGGACGCTAACAATAACAATAAAATGGGATTTTTCGATGCTAAAGCAACCAAGTTCGAAATGTTAAATAGCAGGTAGCGTACTCACAATTACATTTGCTACGGAGGAATATAGCATTTATAGTTAATCAGTTGTTAAGTGCTTCTGAGTGTTTTAATTGTCATGAAATGTGGCCAAATTTTAAACATTTAAACAATCTGTTCAAGAGGTTTTTGTTGTAATATTACTTCAATTTTGGAAAGTAAAACCTCTCGAAATGCGGGCACAAGGAAAGAAATAGTGAGAGCCGGCAACCAATATCGTACAAATGAATGAAAGGTATGATCTCTTAGCGCTTCAGTGAATCACACAGGTCTTTGGTACGAAAAAAAAATCATTTTTTTTTATAGGTTGCAAATGCACCTGCTTGCTCAGTCTATTAGAAGATTGTAATGAAAGAGAACATTAACAGTCCGCAACATTGCTGTTTAGATCAAACCCGTGGGCGTGAAAGCGAGCATGAAGAGACTGCAGGTGTGCAGATTAAATACTCCATTAGTTAGTTCCAGCAGTTGGTTTGTGTCATCCATCAGTAGGTTGTAGATATGTATTTTAGTTCCCTGTAATAGGTTGTATGAGTGCTCATTAAGCAGGTTTTGTCATGGTTTATAGGTGAATCTGGGCGGGTTAGAATCCAACACCACGAAAAATTTGCAATCCAGATCTGGGCTTGTTGGTAAGTCTGCATTGTAAAGAAAAATAGTTTATCGTTATGCGTGCTTTTTATGTCACACTAGTTTAAAAAAAAATTACATGTATGGATGCAGTATCTTCCATGACCAAGGGATGTCTCTAAGCTTTTTACGGCCAGTGCTGTACTTTTGAAGTGAGTCATTTGTTGTGATATAGGAAACGTGGTAGTTAATGAGCACACAGAAAATTCCCACAACAACGATATGCTAATGAGCAGAATCTGTAATTGTAATGTGGATTGAGCAATAATTACTCACCTGTATGTCAAATCAGTGCCATAGGATCTTTTACCCGAGAGAGTGTAAGGCCCTTCCTGTCTGAAGAACAGCACTTACAGCAGTGTAGTACTCTTTCAGCACCGGTGTGTCAGTCTTGACTTCTGTGTTCAAGCCCTGCAAAAGGTGAGTGTCCTATACTGAGATAGTTAATACACGTGCACTCAAGTGGGTCAAACTTTATATTTGCAATACATAACTAAAGAGGGTTACAGATATTTTTAATAATAAATTAGAGTGAAAATGTCAATTGCAACATAAATAAAAATTCAGTTGAAATATGCTAGTTAGCAACTATGCCCAGAATAAAACAAGAGAAACTGAAGGAGTAAAATCAGGGGGATCCACTTGATGATCTAGCTTTATAAGACTTAAAAGTAACACTATTATGATCTACAGAAACCCCATCAAATGGTTAACTGTTTGGTGTGAAATTCATATTTAGAGTTATGATTGGTTTTTAACTTCCTGAAACATTTTCTTGGAGAGACCTAGCTTCTATTTGAGCATGAGCCTCAATTTAGAGTACAGAATATTTTCTAGTCAACCTGTTCAGGGATATTATGACACACTAATCAAGCAGGTAAGATTTGAACCTCGATCTCCTGGCCCAGTGGTATGGACACTACCATTGTGCTGCAACGGTCCTAAATTTAGAATGCAACTCAATTGTTTTGAGTTCCAAATGTTTCAGTTTTTTGCCTGGTTTGGCTATGTCCATGTCAATTACAATCCCTCCATTCTTCTTTTGGGGTTCATACCACAATGAAAATATTAAATCTCTTTGTTTGACTCTCCTAAGCATTTGGAGTATTTGCACATTGTAACTTGATCTGCTTCAACGCAGTGATTTAAAAACACCTGCAAACAACTGGGGGGAAATTTTATGAATCTAACATGAAAACACTTTAAAATAAATTTCCCTTTTGAGCTAATATGATAATGGTTCAGAAGGGGTATGTTAAATTGGTTCCACCCACTTTACTGACATTAGTCTGTGGCTGCAGACAACCAGCTCCATTCTCCCTCTTTGGTGAGAAGGAGATGTGTTGGTATGCGCTGCCCAAAGTGCTAGGGATTATACCTAACTAACTGTGGTTGTACTAATTGTTGTCATGCAATAAACCTTGTTATCCATTGTCTTTTAGATACTGTACAGTGACATATCCTCTACCACAGACAAGTGAGGAGTGGTAGCTGGTGAACTCAAAACAATCCTTACCCAATACTACATAACTATTAAAGGTGACAAATACCACAAGGTACCAGAGTGGTCATCTGAGAGAATACCTAATGAATGACTATATGTGAAGGATATGATGTTCCTGTCAAGATTTAGTTCCCTTCCCTAATTGCTGTTGAAAAGCTGTTGGTGAATTATTTTCTTAATGACTGACTCACTGTTATTTTGTTAAAAGTCAACCACATTACTGGAATCACACATCAAACCAGGTTAAGGCAGCAATCCTTTTCCTAAAAGGAGTTAGTAAATCATAAGTTTTAATGCTTGCTATTGCTGATGTTTGCTTTGTAATTTAAGTTTCGCATATGTCAAGATCAAATTTGAACTCGTGCCATTATGAATCTACAGGTGTTCTAGATTATTGGTTATGTACAATAAGCATTATACCACTGTACCCTCTTCAAGTCAGCAGTAAAGAAACAAATTCCAAATAGTGGAATTTTTCTGAATTTTTAATGTTTCTTCCTTTAATCATTTCCCCCCCTAATAATATATAGAAACTATATGTAAGCAGTTATTGTGAGTATGTATGTATGTATATACTCCTGGCCAGACAGGAATCTGGTTACAATATTTTCAGCAGATATAGTTCAAGAACTAAAGAAAAGCTGCTTGATAGTGAAGTGCTATTGTCAAGCATATCCTACAGGGTTGTATTATGGCCATAACTGTGTAGCAAGCATTAAGAATGAGTCATGGAGGCAGTAGAATTCTGATCATTGCAGAACATCAACAGATGAAGATGAGAAAGAGGTTCAGACTTGGAGCTGTTTAAAATAACAGAATCTTGCTTGATTTCAACTATTCCCAAAATGATACATTTTAGCATTGATACTATTCTGTAAGATCATAAGCTGAAGGAGCAGAAGTAGGCCATTTAGCCCACTGAGTCTGCTCTTCCATTTTATTAAACCCAGATAATCCAATATTCCTCATCTCACCTTTCCTGACTTTTCTCCATAATTCTTGATTCCGTTACTGATTTAAAAACCTGTTATTTAGCCTTGAATATATGTAACAACCCAACTTTTACACCCCTCTCTGGTAACAAATCCCACAGATTCACTCTTCTGAGAAGAATTTCCTCCTCATCTCTATCTTAAACGTGTGACCCCTTTATACTGAGATAACGTCCACTGCTCTTAGACTGTCCCACAAAGGAAACAACCTTTTCTGCATCTACTGTCAGTCCTGAAGAGACCTGTATGTTTCAACTGGTCGCCTCTCAATCTTCTAAATTCCAAAAAGTAAAGGCCCAAAGTACTCAACATTTTCTCATAAGACAGTCCCTTCATTCGTGTGCTCAGCCTACTGAAACTTCTCTAAACTGCCTCCAATACCAGTATATTATTTCCTTGGACCAGGGACCTAAAGCTGTTTACTATTCCAGCTGTAGTCTGACTAATGCCTTGTACAGTTTTAGCAAAACTTCCTTACTTTCATTCTCCATTCCCTTTGAAATAAAGCATGTCTGGTCCTAGACCATCCCACAAGGAGAAACAACTTCTCAGGATCTACCCTGTGAAGCTCCCTAAGAGTCTTTGTATGTTTCAGTAGCAAACAAGAATGGAAACTATGATTAACTTGCCTTGTGTGCTGAAGTGAATTTTGTCTCTTATCTGAGATCAGCTAATCCAGCCCAAAGTATTGAGTTTGGGCTCTAGGGTATATTGCTTAGCTACATGTTGCCTGTTCTAACTGAGTAATTGGATAAAGTCACTTCTTTTAAGTGGATAGATTCCTGCTGTTATCAGCAAATCAGCCAGGAAAGGATGAATTGAGAATGGAAATGGAATGAAATTCTGCCAATGTTGGTTTCTGAATAAAAACAGTTCAAGATACAATATTGTAGATAACTAACTTTTTTTTCAGTCACTGATCAATTTTTTGGAAATCTTGGTGCCTTTCTATCTGAGGAAACTAGAGTGTGAGGTACTTGTGCACAGAAACAGTATGTGTGAAACTTAGCCATGGTGCAGTAGTCCTGTTGGGGAAAAGCTGAAGCGTTAAGGTCTGAACAAGGGAACTGAATCTGAATCCTTGTCTTGAGCAGCAGTTCCATTCAGGCTTTGTCTCATTTGAGTAGGTTGCATGAGGAGAGTTATTGAGAAGACTTCTTAACCACAGCAGTAAAATGTTTCACATCCCTGTTTAAATCAAGGCTGCTTGGTGTTTTTAAAGTTCTCTTGATTCCTTAGTGAATAAATTCTTGCATAATGTGGAACTGAGCCTTGTAGACCAGGAAGATCCAAAGTTCCTGTCTGTAACATTGTAGAATTTATCATACATTATTGTTGGATCTCATTTGCAATGAGAACCCCAGTCATAAGGTGGATTAAGGGGACCTTATTTGTGATTTACAGCTCAGTTACAGCATACAGCAAAAAAAGGCACAAAGGCAAAAAAAGCTTTAAAATGTCTTAACTTATACATTTTTAACTTAGAGTGCACATACCCCCACCTTGTTTACTGCTGGTCAGTGGAGCCAAGTTGTTCACCTGTAATTGGCTCTCAAGTTGCTAATCACTGAGATTGAACAGGCTTGTTGTCTGCCCTGGTCATGGCATTTTCACAGACTTTCTTGTGTTTCTCCACTGTTAATTGCCAATTAATTAGATCAGGAGCTTTTAAAATTTCTCATTACAGGAATACAGAAGTTGCAATGACAATCATAGAATCCCTACGTATGGAAACAGGCCCTTCAGCCCAACAAGTCCACACCAACCCAGACCAATCCCCCAATAACCCACCTAATCTACACATCCCTGAACACTATGGTCAAATTAGCATGGCCAATCCACCTAGCCTGCACATCTTTGGACTGTGGGAGGAAACCCACGCAGACACGGGGAGAATGTCCGTGTGGAGTTTGCACAGTCACCTGAGGGTGGAATCAAACCTGGGTCCCTGGCACTGAGGCAGCAGTGCTAACCACTGAGCCACTGTGTTGCCCAATAAATCATATGCAGCTTCATTGTCCATCTGTACATGAAGAAGTATAAAGTCAAGTTTCTGCAAGGCATTTTTTTTTCCTTATAAACAGATAAATGAGATTTTTGGCAATTGTAGACTTTTGTTATATGTTGTTATCACTACACTGAAAGAACATGCTTTGTTTTTCTTGGCTTTACCATTCCTTGATGAGGTACATGAGAAGCATCAGAAGGAAATTAAAGTTCATCCCCCTGACCTTCATTGCATAACAGGATGCATTACTCAGTCATCTATTTTTGACAATATTTAATATGTTTTAATATACAGCCAAGAGTGGAGTGAATGTTGTTCTATAACATCAGCATTTTTAAAATCCATTTACAATATGCTTAAATCAATAGGAATATTTAGAACTGCAATCTGGCACCTGATAAAATATCCATTAGTAAATCTATATTTTCGAATAAGTCACAACTTATCATCTATATCAGGCTGTAAGTGTAGGGTTTGACTGAAAGAAATAACTTACTAAAATGTTCAATATTGCAGTCCATTCATGACACACCTCATATTACAGGTAAAATGGCTATAAGTCTTACCATACTGTAGAGCTGCTCTCTTTTTAGAGAAAGATGATTGGTAGTTGTTTAACCCGAGGGTCACCATGCCTCAGGTGAGGGGAGAAGCTAAGAAGGAAAACCTTACCTAATTTCCAAATTAACGTTTGCTTCAAACATGGTTCTGCTGTGCTCACCACTGTGTAGCTCTGCACAATGCGAGAACTTAAGGCTAACTTGTACTTTAAATCTTAGGCTGGACCCAATTTTGGAGTAAAGGTGTTGTTTCTTTATTCTTCTGGCTACCATTACAATCAAATACACAGGGATAACATAGCAATGTATTTTGATTATCTCATTTCAAATTTCGATGGAATTGATTGTATTTTTATTTGCTAGATCTTGATGTGAAGTAAGGGAAACTATAATGTGCAGATTCTTAGAATTGTCACTAATTACTGCATTACAGACAAATAAAGCCAATTATAGTTAGATGTGATAAATATTTTTACTGTATGCTTTGTGATTTCTTTTAGTATATTACAGATTGACTGATCAAATAATTCAAAAGAAACAACTAATTCTGCAACCTTGACTTGTTAGCTGCTATATACAGTGCTGCTGTTATTAAATGTTGCATGTTATCATCTATGTTCTTGCAAGAATGATTGCACATTCAGCAACCTTGGGCAGGGGAAAAAAATGTTACTATCAGCATCCGTTATGGGCAGCCCTAACAATCCTCCATTTGATTTCCCCCGTTAAGCGAATCATAAAGCAGTGAGTATATAGTTACACATACGAGATGGGCTTTTAATGCAAGAATGATTGCCTCATGGGTTGCTTATCTTTGAGGAGTCTAACCTGCGTGGCTGCAGCAGAAGCCATCTGTTGGCAACAACATTTCATTAACTAAAGCAAACAATACAAAATAAGAATTACTACAATGAATAATAGTATACCCTGCACCAGTTAAGTTCCCAAGGATCCTAACCAGCCTGCTGTCCAATTCCACAGTGGAGGATGGGGATTGTTTTAGTTTGTCCATCTCTTTTCGTATATGTGGTGCTAAATCGGTGATTATCTCCAACAATTCTGAAACAGAAGTACAGCATTGGGCCTTGATTAGGGCACAATTGCCTTCCTTTTCAGCCAGTATCCAATCAAGAGCCCTTCTGTTCTGCAGCACTGTTTTACAGATGGCCACCGTTTCAGCACTTATTTTATCCAAGGCCCCTGAAGTATCATTGGCCACCAGTTCTAGGACATCTGCCAAGTTGGTAAATTCCCTGGCCAGTTTTGCAGTGCCATACCAGGGGATCAAGATGGTAAAGAATCTCTGTCTCTGTAATGGCCCTTTCTTAAATCTTTGCCAGTGGGGTATCTCTGGTAGGTAGAATGAGTGATGGATGAAAGGGACGACATAACTCAAGTACCATGATGAGGGTAACATACATTTGCTGTATCCCATCTCATGTCCTGTCCTTTGGATCTTACCTCAACACATACCACCTGTTTGGTCTCCCCATTCCACAAGTGTTAGTAAGAGTCAAGAAAGGAGGTCGTTGCGAGGTGTTGTAAATAGGCTGATATTACTTTCTGAAAGGTGATTGGGTTGTAACCTGCTGACTCCCACTGCTCTTAGGGTCAGTTATGTGCACCTAATACACGCCTGTTCCTGCTGAGGAATGCCATGTCAGTTGTGCCGGATCCTCTAGGGAGATGTTGTAGCGTTCTGCCATTTTGGATGTATTAAAAGAGGATGCCCTCTTTCAAGTGGGTGGGTATGTGGGCACACACACCCGACAATTGGAAACATTAGCTTGTTTGCCTTGGATAAAGCGCACAGAAAAAAGTATTTACATGCAGTTCCCTTTACCTTTGTCAATCCCTGCACCAGAAGGGAGACAAGTTGGTAGTAAACAAACACTCAAAGTACATTTAGTAATGCAGTCAATTTCTCCATCTTGAGATAAATGTAAC